GGTTGTGAGAGCAGTTGCACCCCTTTCTTTACTCTGCTGTTCATGGTTTCTCAACTGCCTTCTGGGCCCTGAGTGCTCACCAGTAGGAAGCTATTCATATGTACACACATGTATAAGTTGTTTCTACAGATAAAGTTATATCTTTCTCCTTTCTGAGAAGAGCCGGAAGGAATGATGGCTAGAGCCTGGGGCCACAGTGAGCTTCAGTATGGGCAAGCCCGGAGCTGCCTACCCAAGACCACCCGCTCCTCTGCAGCTCGATGATGCCAGACTGCATGCTTCTCACCGGGAGGCAGACTCGCAGAGCTACACAACATGGGCACTGGAGACAGACTGCTCGGCTTCACATCCACTCCCAGACCTGCAGGTTACCAGCTCTGAGACTGGGGCAAGTTACTGAGCCCAGTTTAACTGGGCCCAGTTTAATATACCTGAGTTTAGCCCTCGTATGACTGGGATAATATTAACGCCCACTGATGGGAATGTTGTGATGCACGCCCCTCACCCCGGATATTTTTTAGTAGAGGTGGGACAGGGTGAGCTGGCTGTGTTCACCTTAAAGTCACTGAGTGAAATTTCTGTTTTCTATTCTCTGAAAAGATGAGTTTGTTTTGAGAATAAATACATAAATATATAATATATATATACATATATGAATGAGTGTATAAGAAACACTTAAAATAGCAATAGCAAGCACTATAATAATATACTCTAGGTATATTATTTATGGCAATATGCAAATACACAACATTTCTTCCATAGCCAGTGAATTTGTGAAGCATGAAGGTAGGAATCAACTGAATTGTAAACAGGAGAGAAAGATAACAGGTAAAACCATGGCTTGTTTAAGACCGTGGGTGATACATGCTAGATGGTAATTTGTAAGAGACCAGCGAGGCATATCTAATCCCTAGTAGAGTGTAGGGAATAACAGTTTGCTAAAAAATCAAAATAAAAAATAAACAAAACAATCTCTTTTAGTCCTTCATCCCATCCTGCTGGCTGAGAACCATTAATTTAGGTGAATCTTGGGACTCTTCAGGTTGCAATCAGCAGATCACACAACTTGAAATGCCTTAGGCAAATAACAACAACAGCAAAAGATTTTATATTTTAGATTATACACTAAGGCACATTGTCATTACGTTACCTAAGATTAAAGATAAGGAAAGAATCTTAAAAGCAGCAAGAAAAAAGGAGACAGTCCCCTACAAAGGAGTTCCAACAAGACTCTCAGCTGATTTCTCAAAAGAAACCTTGCAGGCAAGAAGGGGCTGGAAAGAAGTATTCCAAGTCATGAAAGGCAAGGACCTACATCCAAGCTGACAACAAAACTATCATTTAGAATGGAACAGCAGATAAAGTGCTTCTCAGATAAGGTCAAGTTAAAGGAGTTCATCATCACCAAGCTTTTATTATATGAAATGTTAAAGAGACATCTAAGAAAAAAAAAACAAGATTGAAAATATAAACAGTAAAATGACAACAAATTTATAACTATCAATAATTGAACCTAAAAACAAAAACAAACTAAGCAAACAACAAGAACAAGAACAGAATCACAGAAATGGAGATCACAGGGATGGTTATTGGGAGGAGTGGGAGGGAGAGAATAGGGGAAGAGGTACAGGCAATAAGAAGCATAACTGGTAGGTACAAAATAGACGGGGGCAGGTTTAAGAATAGTGTAGGAAATGGGGTAGCCCAAGAACTTATATATTCAACCCATGGACATGAATGGGGTGGAGGGGCAGACATGCTGGTGGGAGGAGGAGGGGTACAGGACAGAAGGGAATAAAGAAGAGAAAAAATGGACAACTGTAATAACATAATCAATATATTTTTTAAAAAGGACTTTGTTTTATGTAACTGACAATCTGAGGGAGAATACTAAAAAGTGCCAGTCAGTTTAATACCAGGGTCATGTGAGGTCACCAAGACTCAATTTCTCCATCTCTCTCTCTCTCTCTTTCTCTTTCCCCCACCCAGCCCCTCTCTGGTCAATCTTTCTGTGTTGTTTGCTTTCTAATACATCTTTTCCTGGTGGCAGATGGCAACAGTACATCTGTCCCCCTCTACTCCATTCTCCTAGGTTCAAGTCCAGTAAGAAAAAAAAATACAGCAACTTAAGTCTTGCCAAAGTATCCTTGCACCCCATTGGCTAGGACCAGGTCCCATGACTGGGCCTGAACTAATCGAGTTTCCAAGTGGAGGAAATGCTTTGATTGGATTGGCTGGAGTCAAACACAGGGGATGGAAGGATGGAATCAACACATCTGAACACACGAACTTGGCAGTAGGGAGAGGGTGGTTCCCTAAGAGGGATCCGGAGCTCCATTTTATTAGTTGTGCATCCTGCTCTTCTATGTTTCACTCTGTTCTGTTTACAGGCTTTCTTTTGAACCCTGCATCTTTATTTCAGGAGCAAGGCAAAGCAGATGAAGAGTGGAATACAGCCAGAATCAGACACACTCATTACGTGTATAAAGGGTGAGGGCCCAGGGGCAGAGAGTGGCCATGGAGGGGGTACAGTTTCAGCGGATGCTGTGATGAAGTCTAGTCTCACTGAGCTTAAATGGAAAGGAGGCACCAGGTGGGTCAGGTCAACAGCCACCACTTAGAGGTCAACATGAAACTTAGGGGTGTCAGAGGAAGCTGGAGCATGGTAAAAAAAAAAAATCCAGATGTAGAAGAGATTTCCGTTATGCAGAAGTGAAGCACCCAAGACAGAGAAGAGGGGACTGGCACTAATGACAACCACCATGGCCTAGCAATCGCAGTGTATGTTGACTCTTGCTCACAATGCACTTGAACTCAAAGTTTGCCCATGATCACATTCGTATATTGCCATTTGAGTGCACGGGTGGCCAACACTCAAAATGAGAGGTGTGGGAGGCCAGGAGTTACAAGGGCCAATGGCTTTGACAGCTTGCATTCTTTTGGAACCTTCTTTAGCAATGTCTAGTTTCCCTTCTCAGCTTACATCTTTACAGAAATCAAGCTGGGTTTTCAAAAGTCTTCAGCCATGATTTCTAGTTCCAGCTTCAACATGTAAAGAATTTGGAAGTTATTATTCTCATTTTTATAAGGGGAAAAAAGATAAATTAACTGAAAATCAGCAACTTTCCTAGGACCCATCAGAGAACCGAGGTTGCAGGGCAATAAGTTCCCCCACCCCTCCCACAACCTGACAAACAGGACAGACAGGCCAATCTAGAAAGTTACAGCAAAGACCTTACTGGGGACAGCAGCCATTGGTGCTATACATTGGCATAAACACTTAAATGGTAAATCTGATAAATTTCTGGAGACTGACCATGGACTATCAAGATGGTGAGAAACTTCTGGGGGCACCCACCTTTTCATAGGTTGACTTCCAGGAAATCTCGGTACTTTGGGGCAGAGTAATCAGGTTGGAATATACCAAGCAGTTTTTCCATAACCAAGACCTGCTCTCCAGGGGGAAAGCCCCCCCAAAGCCTTCCCCTACCCTGGGGAAAAGACATGTCTCCCACTCAAGGCTCTTCTGGCGTCCTTGTCTCATCTAAGTCACAGTCCAGGGACACAGGCCACTCAGAGACTGAGAAGTAATAACACGAAGGGTAGAACCCTTCCTGCCCCTCCTCCTCAGCACCCAAGGAAGCTCCAGTATGATAAGAGTGGATCACAGCTGAAAGAGTTGCAGTGTCAAACTCTATCTAAGCAGCGGTTCTTAAAGAAGCCCAATCTTCTTGGTTCTGTTTCCCAGGAAAACGCCAACTGTTGCAGAGCCTGTACTCGTTTGTTGACAGGAAGGAGTTCATGTTTTTGCAATAAATACAAACCCACAGTTTTAACCAAAAGGATATGTTTAAAGTGGAAACCAGCCATTCTATCCATTTATCTGACCGTGGTATTAACAAAACATATATATACTTCCACTTGGGACCTTTTCATTAATTCTCATTAATTTCATTAATTAACTGAATGCTTATTCTTAAAGAAGTCATTATTACCCTAGCCAAGCATTTCTAACTACAGTCACATGAGGGCTTCTACAACCTGAATGGCTGGTGGAGGCCCCTAAGGACACCGCTGATTGCCCCTGGACACCAGTAACGATCACAAACCGCATTTATTCTGGCTCACCAGATTGCAGAGTCAAATGCAAGGAGCTTCATTTCTGCTGCTTTTTGTTTTGTGTTGATATTTGTAAAATAAGGAAAAATATAGGATGCCACCATCTGAGGGTCTCAGGAACATACGGGCAAATAATAAGAGTGCTTTTATTGTCAAAGTATCCCACTTGGATGGGGCTGAGAGGAAAACTCTATCATGTCTCAAACTCCACATTAACTGAGGTCGGCTATGGATGGCTTTCATGAAGCATGAGGCAGTATTTTTTTTGTTGTTTACTTTATAACAGTTTCCTTGGCTGGAAAATGAGAGTATTTTTGTTCTGTTAAGGTAAACTGCCATGCTAATTTAGGAAGTTCCCAAGGGGGTGGATCTTACATACCAAGCACTAGACACCACACTTCAGAGGCAAACACAAGCTACGCAGCAACAGCAGAACATGCATGCGACTCAAACAAATTTCTAACAATATGTCTTTTAGCAGATAGACTCACACTTTATTTTGACAAATTTAAGATAGAAAAATATCAAGTGAGTATAGCAGTTGCTCTTTTTGTGACACGGTTTGGGATGTGCAATGTGATTCGTGAGGACTAGCTCACCAGGAAGGGTTCACCTCTGTTTGGGCTTCTTAACACTGAATCTATTTCAGCCATTGCATTTGCTTGAAAAAATATTGGACATGGCGAAACTGGTTTTTAAAAAGGTCATAGCATTCCATGACAAATATTCTAAAGCAGAGAACCAAAACAACTTTTAAAAATATTTTTATAGTAATTACTAAAAGCTGAAGTTACACTTCACGATTAAAGCTAAGAATTCATAATTTCAAAATAAATTTGACATTTCTTACCAATATATAATAGAATACTAGAGCATGTATTTTTAAAAAAACAGGTAAAGAGAAATCAGAGTAAACATATTTCAGATGACCAGAAACAGTAAACATCAATTCAGTGTATTTACATGTCTTTTCAATAATATACTCTTTGCCCAGCTGGCCATAGAAAACTGTGGCTTTATCATCAAAAATGTGCCTCTGGATGGAATCTTTGATTCCCTGTTTCTACACTCAGTCATTGGAGGAGGTGGTTGAGGGACCCAGAACATGCAAACATTTGGTTATCGCTATTATGTCAAAAAACAAAACAAAACAAACCCAAGCGTGCCAGGAGTCTGCAGCTGAGACTGCCGTCTTAACTTTGTTACGCACCTTCGTATTCTTTTGTCTTTACGTTGCCTCAGGTGAAGGGATGCTAAATAATTCACACAGGTGCTAATTTGGTTGCTGTCCATTTCAGATTGTTTCTTTGCTTCCCTTCCCCACTCCTCAAAGAATAAAATTGGGCAGCCCCTCATTAAAATATGTTATCTCTAACATATAAAATAAGTATATATGTACATATATACATATATGTGTTTCCTTTTCAAGGACTGGGTAACTCCTCATTTTCCATCAAATAATCTTTCTTCATATACTTGGTACCCCTGACCAACCTCCACACTACCAGGTAAGCATCCTTTAATGACCTTTTGCTAGCTTCTTCAGAGCTACCTGCCAACAGCGGGACTCCTCTGCCCCTCGCATCTTGCCCCCTTTGCTGAGCGGAGCAACCTGCTGCCTTCCCACCTTCTGACCAGCCACTTCCACCTTCCTCTGGCGGCTGCTCCTCTGGCAGCTGCTCCATGACAAATGGCAGCTGCTCTCCGCCTGGCTGTGCCTCCTCTCCCCTGGGCTGCGATTCCAGGTCCTCGTAGTTGCTTTGCTTTCTGGTCTCCAAGAATTTGGCGACACAGTAAATGATGGAACCCAGGGTGTTCACCACGACGCCGGCAATGAATAGAGAGGTGGGCTCCACGTCGCTGAAGGCCACCATGCCCACTGTGATGGTGGCGATGCTCTTTACTACCCCCACGAAGCTGGTGGTCACGGCCGAGTTGATGTAGGTGCAGTGCAGCGTGGTGAAGTTCATGGCGCAGCCGATCAGAACGCAGGCCAAGAAGATGCAGACCATCGTCGGGTCCTTCCAGCCAGGGAAGGCCCAGGCTTGGATAGAGTCGGTGCTGGCGAAGGAGAGGACGACCAGCAGCGGGGTGGCAGACACGGCGATGACATACTGCGCGGTGAGCGGCCCGTGCTCGGTGTCAGCGCTCGCCTTCTGGATGAGCACCAGGTAGGCGGCATGCACCAGCACCGCCAGCACTCCGGTAACGTACCCCATGGGGTCACCGGTCAAGTCCCCGGCTCCTGAAGCGCGAGGAGGACCGCAGCGCCCGAGAAGGAAGGAAAAAGACAAGACACCAGGTTGGCGCCGGTGGCTCTCCACAGGGGAGACGCGTCCCGTTGGCAGGCAGATGCGTTTCCTGCCCCAGCTCTGCCCACGGGTATATAATGGTCAGTCAGTGCCCGCTGTGAAGCAGGAGGAGAGGCGCCTTCCCTGCCACAACCGCTGGGCATCCTGCCTACCTCCGTCCAGACAGCGGCTCGGGAGAATGCAGGTGCCCTCGGGGTAGGCACCATGGCTCCCAGAGCTGGCACAGATAGTACCCAGGTGCTTGGTATCCTTGCCGCCTCCCTGGGGCACCAGAACAGATAGGGATCCCCAACTAGTAGCTTCTAACCCTAGCAGGCTGGGCGCTGGGCGAAGAAGGACCTCCCTCACCCCCAAAAGGTTTCTCGCCCCCACCGGCCCCCATCTCAGTTGGCCAAACCCACGGGGGTCTCAATCCAGCCCTTTCTGCCTCAGGGCAGCCCCCAGTGCGGTGCCTGAGACCTGAAACTAGCCCGGATGGTCCAAACTAGCCCATTGCACACCACCCCCCCACACCCGCACCCCCACATCCAGCCCCGCGTGACCCAAAGAAGTTCACTGCCCCCTCCTTCCGGCTTGGTCTGGGGATTCCAGCTCCCGGGCTCCGGCGGCTGTCCCACCCCTCCCGGAGGAAGGAAGGGGTGAAGGGGTGCAGGGGTGGGGGGAGGACGGCACAGGGTGAGGCAGGGGCGGGGGTAGAAAACCAGGAGGGGGTGGGGTGGGGGCCCTGAAGGAGGGGGCCGAGGCTGGGGGCAGGCTCCCCTGGGTCTCAGAAGTCGCGTTTTCGAACCAAGCGCCCACATTTGGAGCTCTCCGCCGTCTGTCTCAGTCTCCCCAACGGGAAGTGAGAACGTTGCACTAGGCACCCCCCCCCCCCGCCTGCGGTCTCCGCCCGTGGGAGGGGTGGGCCGGGGTCGGCGCGGGTCCGCTCACCTGCCAGGGCAGCGCCGCAGGTGGTGATGAGCACGGCCGCGAGCACCCCCGGGGAGGGCGCGCCGTTCTTGAGCACCAGGACGCCGATGAGCATCGTGACGAGGGGCAGGCAGCGCTTGAAGACCACGTACATGGGCAGACTGAGGCCGCGCAGGGACCAGAGCGTGAGGCTCGACTGCAGCGTGGAGAGCACTGCGACCCCCGCGAAGGAGCGCGCCAGGCTCAGGCCGAAGGGGGGCACGGCGATGAGCCCGAGGCGCCGCAGCAGCTCCAGGCTCAGCGCCGCCGTGGAGCTGGTCAGGCACTGCACCAGGGTCAGGAAGGAGAACTGGTAGCGGCTGATGAGGAACTTGAGCAGGATGTTGAGGGAGCCCGAGAAAACCCCATGCGCGATGGCCACCGAGATGCCCAGCAGGCGGCCCCGGCACAGCTGCCGCATCACGCCGGCTGCGCCGCACCCGCGGTGTAGGAGCTCCGGGACCTGCGAGAGGAGAGCGGGGAGGAGAGCCGGGAGGAGCGGAGCGAGGGCGGCGGGGGCGCCAGCCCCACGCCGCGCGCGGAGGGCAGGGGGCGCCGGCTCAGCTGCAGAGGGCAGTTCCAGCCAGGCGTCCTCGCAGCTCGGTGGCTCCGCGTCCGACTGTCCCGCAGCTCCCGGGAGGCAGGGACGGGGGCGGGAGACTCCGAAAAGTGGCAGGGGTGGGGGGGCTGGTCTGAGAGGAGTGGCGGGAATCCTAGCGACAGCAATTTCTAAGTAGATGACGAGCTGCAATGGGTTGTGTCCCGCGCGGTTTCACCGCCAGCGAGAACACTCTGCGGCTGGAAGCCCGGGCAGCTGCCGTCGCCAGCCTGACCCGACCCGCGCCCCTCCGGCACTCGGCGCCCACCGGAGGGGGCTCTCGGGGCGCGGACCCCTCTCCGCCCGCAGTGCCAGCTGCTCTGGCTCGCCACTTCTTCCCGTCTCTGAGTCAAAGGACTCAGGTTGGGGGATCCCGTGTCCAGCTAAAGAACATTTTAGAAACAACAGCGCCCCGGGGTCGAGCACCGTTTATTAGCCGCAACAGGTGACGGCGCCCAGCCTCCTCCCCTCGCGCTGCGGGGGTTTGCCACCCACGCTCCCTCCTGGTACAGCCGTGGGGTCCTTGTCCAGTTGCTGGCCAGGTAGGGAAAAACGTCGGTGCCAGCGGGCCGCGGAGTTCCCTGATGCTCTAGATTAGGGCGCTGCCACCCTGATATTGAAGGAACCCACGGTTGCGAGACGCCAACCTGGCGAGCTCTCGGGCGCAAAGGCTGGTCCCTTCCGGCCCGGGGCACCACACACACAGTCAACGCGCCATCCAGGGAGGGACCTGCAATTACGCACGCAGTTCTGGGGGAGCTTCTGGAGGCGCAGTGGCCTTGGGAGGCTTCGGGGCGGAGGCAGGGGCACGTGTTCCAAGCAAGGCAAAGATGTGAACTGAGCAAAAGAGCAGAAACTAAGTCTCCGGAGCGAGTAGCGCTTACTGGTTCCAGAGGAGCGCTTGAGTAACCGGCCCCGGAGCAGGAGAGGGAGCGCAGGACCGCGCTGGAAACTTGGGGGCGTGAGGTGGGGCAGGAACTGGGCGAGACACGGATCCGAGACCGGGCGTGGCTTTCTGTGGATCCCGGGAACCTACCGCAGCCTGAAGGACCGCGGTGAGCCACCTCGGTGAGCAGGACAACCTCTGCCCCCCACCTCCCGGGACAGGGCACCTCTGCGCCCTGCGTAGAACTTGTGAACTGTTTACTTCCCAAGTTGGCTAAGAGTAAAAGGAAATTCTCATTTCCTGCAGCCCAAAGACTTTCGTGACCCTTTTATCCGAATTTTGTACCCTGAAAAGTAACGTCCAGAGTTGTAAACTTAGCCTAGTACAGTTCGCTCAGCAGAAGTCACGGTTAAAAGCCAGACACAGTTCAGTTTTCGCGCTACTGAAAAATGATGGACTTGGTCGTGGTTTGGGTGCGAGGCAGAAGGCTCGAGATCGCTGCGCTTCGCCTCTGGGTTCCTGCTAGTTTCTCATCCAGCCACGCCCACCGGCATCCCAACCCCCTAACCTTTAAATTCGGCACCACATTGAGCCTAACACACACGATCCATTTCTCTAGCTGTCGTTTTGCTTTCCCCTCCCTCCATATCTGCACCTCTGTGCCGAACGCGGCGCGTCCAGCCCAGATGGAAGACGCGATTATTGCCGCAGCAGAAAGATAAGTTACACCTGGGCGGCACTGCGGCCCTTCCCCGGGCCGGCTTTGTGTGTGCAGGGAGCTCCGTCCCGCAGGGCAGAGAGCGCGGGCTCCAGCAGACCTCCAGCGCCTGTGCTGAGCTCCATGTGGGGAACCTCCCTGCCTCCGACAGGTGGGCACTCAAGAAAATGTTTTCCAATGGTCCACTATGCCAACTTTCCAGGAATAACACTGGAAAGCATTACAGTGAAACCCGCGCTTCCGGTGCCCTGGGGAACTCTTGGGTTTTGTTGCTAAAAGCTGTGGTTACACACTATTGGCTTTTCAATGACTCTGTTTCTCAAATGTCGATGTTCTTTTTTTTTTTTAAAGGAAATAAGGAAGTTTGAAGCAACAGTTCAAATTATGTTTATGTATGAAGTATAAGCATATACTCAAAGTACACTCAGATAAAAAAACTCTCTGAAAATTAACTTTTGAAAGCCATCAGCAAATAACAGATCTCTGCTTCCGGGGCCATTGCAATTAAAGGATGGTTGCTTTAAGCCATCTTAAGTGAAGGTAATAAAGAATTGTCTGCACAGAACTAGTTTTGGAATGATTCATTTCTGCCAGCAGTTATAATTGCTTCCATTTGTGATATGAACATTAGGTAAAAGATTTGGGGCGGATTCAGCTATCCTACCCTTCTCATTCAGACAAGAATGTTTAGTTTAATATTTGAAATCTACATTGGCATGAAACAGAGTACATTTTCTCTATCGCATATAATTTTTTTCCATTAGGACTTTCATTAAAAAAAGGTTTTCATTTTTAAAAAAATTAACACCACCTCCCACACCAGTTACTAGATAAGCTACCAAAGAAAAAGGAGAGAAATAAGAATACTGTGTTTAGCAAAGATAATTTAACAAGAATGTAGATCTGAAGGTCAAAAAGCTATTTGACCTCCTGGTGTCAAGGTATCAAGGGTCTAGATTCACCTTGGATTATCTCTGGAGCTACTCAATAAATATTGATGGCATTACATAAATTCATTCAACACACACAGAGAGCAAGTATATTGGGCTACATAGTCTGTTAGCCACAGCGGATTCAAAGCAGAGCACCCATCTCAGTCCTTAGGACTCACAGGTGGAGGTGAGGCAGCCCGATGACGCTCATGCAGCAGCGGCACTTGTGGCAGAAACAGAGGAGCACCAAGGAGGGCAATAAAATCGGCCCTACAGGGGTATCAAATTGGGCTTCCTGCAGAAGGAAATATGGTCTTATTTCATCATGCTTAATTGCAAAAATAACACATGCTCATTATAGTACATAAATCAGACTTTATAAATAAGCGAATATGCTATTTTCGATGTTCCCCATCCCCAACCCCATTCCAGTCCCACTACACAGAGCTGGCTACTGTTAAGATTTTAGTGTAAGCCATTCACTTTTTCTTGCATATATATTTCTACATACTTAAATCCCTCTTTCAAAAAAACAAAATTTAAAATATAATACACATTTTTCTATAAGTTGCTATTTCTAAAAGCATATTGTGGTAACCAGTCTCCAAGATACTTCCCAAAGATCTCTCACTTCCTAGTAATCACACACTTGGTTAACCTCTCACATGCTGTGCAGTGATTGGTCTGTGTAACCAGTAAAATACAGGAGAGTGATGATGTCACCTGAAACTAGGTTATAAAAGACTGAGGCTTCCATCTTGGATTTTTTTGTGTGTCACTCCATCTGGGAGAAGCCAGATGCCATGCTGTAGGATGCCCAGTCTAAGGACAGTCCTCCACGGCGTCTTTGAGGCCTGCTGACAATAGTGTGAATGAATTGGGAAGCTGATCCTTTAGCCCTAGTTGATGCCCATAGACCCAGTGACAGCTTATCTGCAGTATCATGAGAAAACCTAACCCAGAACAACTCAGCCAAGCCAGTACTAGATTCCTGACCTATAGAAACTGTGAGATTAAAAAATGTTCATTGTTTTAAGCTGCTAAATTTTGGAGTGATTTGTTCCACAAATAGATAACTAATATACATATCAATAGAAATATATTTTTCCATGTCAGGCTACCTAGTTCTGCCTTAGTCTTTTAAATGACTCTTCTATAGTATAAGCCTTCTGTAGTCAGGTACCTAGATTTTGCCAAGCAATGATGTAATGAATAGCCTTGAACATCTGTACCTAAAGTACTTCTGTAATTGTTTGTGGGAGTTAGGGTGGGGATGAAAAGGGAGGTGGGAGTGGGGATTAGAGAGCAAGGCAGGGAATTCTAAAACTGGTAATTTTAAATCTTATATATCAAATTTGCCAAAAAAGTATTTAACAGTGCTTTTACTTTTACTACTATTGAATATTATCAATGTTTTACATTTGCCAAACTGATAAGCATAAAATGGGATTTCATTTTAATTTGCATTTCTTTGTCATCAAGAAAAGTCTAAATATCTTTTTTGAAGTATATTAAATATTTGCACTTCTACACATGAACTGTTGATAAAAGTGAACAAACTTTTATGTTATCAATTCTGGATAACTATTTATTACATATGCTACAAACATATCCTTCCAATACATTTTCTTTTAGCTTTGCTAATGGTGTATTTTACTATTTTAATTTTTGTATGCTGCCAATCTTATCCTTTAGTCATTTCACAGGACTTTCAAACAATGTAAGAATTTGCAGGACAGTCCAGGCAAATGGACTAACTTGAGCAAAGAGAAATGAAAATGCGCATTATTTAACAGGGGGTTTGTGAGCACCCTGGTGTTGCTGGAGCAGAAGTGTGTGACAATGTGGGGAGACAAGCAGACCTCGGACGTCTGCTTACTGAGCTTGAACTTTTTCTTGTAGGCAATCCTAGACCCAGAGAAAAGTTTGACACTGAAACTGATGTTATCAGATTGCATTTTAGACGCATCTCTCACAGCTGGGCTGCAGAGCATGGCTGCCCAGGGACAGAACAAGAAACAGATGCATCACTTAGGAAGCTGTTGTGACGGTCTAGAGAAAAGCTCATGATGGCCTGAAGTTGAGGCAGTGGTGGTGGGATGGAGGGGAGGAGACAAATGGAGAAATACTTAGGGGGCAAAAGGGACAGGGCTCAGTAATCTATTTAATGTGTCTTGAAGTGGACAGTGGGAAGAAGGGAAGGAACAAGGATGGCATTCCGGTCTTTAGCTCTAGTGCCCCGGTGGACAGTGCTGGCAACAAAAGAACTAGCATGTGCAGGAGAAGTTGGTTTAGCAAACAAGATGAGTTTGGTTAGAAGCACATGAGTGCAAAGACTTGTGGGAAACTCAGGTGGAGAAGGTAGGATATGCAGATTTGGAAGTACTCAATCATGCATGGAAGTAAAAAACATTTAAGTAGACTACCTCAAACAAGAAGAGGCATGTTAAGTGAGAAATTAATGAGTCAATTTTTGGA